GGCGCGGGGGGGGGGGGGGGGGGGGGCAGAGTGTTGACCACAGGCTTCGTCTGCGCAGTATCTCTGGAAAGCTGGGTGACCTGTAATATTCAGGAATGGGGCTCTGTTGAACTTTGCTTGAGGCTCCGAGTTGAAGGTCATTAGACAATATTGGTGGCTGGCAAGACATCACTAATACCAGCCGGGGCCAAGTCTACATTACTAGTGATGGAAAATGAACAACAAAACAAAACTAGACGCCACCTTCCGGAAGCCACAATCAACTGTAATTCGCCCGTGATTCTTCAGCTTCAACGTCTTGTATTCTCAATCACCAGGACGTAACGCGACGATCTCAAAATTTACCTCTGACGGGGAGGGGGGGGAGGGGGGTGGCAGCGATAGATTGCGGCGCCCCGGCTCCTCATCCTGGTCAGGTAGGGCGTAGGGCGAACCGGAGCCAACCCATCCGATGAGACGAGGCTTGCTTGGAGTTTTATTAGGGCGGCTAGCTCTAACTAACCCTTGGCCTGCACTAGCAGCGCATTGAAAAAGTTGTCTGCATCATCATACTTGTTACTTACCCTATGGTGCCTGCCGCTTCTCGAGTTCCGTTGTAGAATGACAAGAAAAATTGCAAATTGCTACAAAAATTGTGAATGACAAAATTCAGCATTTCCAGGTAGATTAATAGGGCTGGTGCCATTATTTTTTAGTGCAGTGATTCCCGAGATGTGGCGCCGCCTTGCTTTCAGGAGATCAAAAGGTCAAGGACCTCTGTGATAAGGGTGACGGATGCCGGGAGAGGCTGATCTATCTCAACGCGGGTTCTACAAGCTTTACGAGTTTATAAGAACAACCTTGATTTTGATATTGGAGAACGGCCTAGACTTGAAAAAGTCCACAGCTTGGACCTGCTTACGGGTAACGGCCTAGACTTGTTCACAGCGTGAACATGCGGCTGTCTACTGTGACATAGCCTGCTCATCTATGTGCCAGTTGAAGGAGCTGTGGCTAGTGCCTAATAATGTGGCGTTCGCCGTGGCTGGAGCTAGGCCAACAACAAGATTTGGAAGCGCCGGACTAACAGGTACATACCAACGTCGACTCGATGATAGTTCAAGTGATCGCGCTAACGCTGCCCGGAATGAGAGAAAATGACGCTCGCTTTCAGCTTTCAAACTTCTATCGGAGGTCGCTGAGAGCGGAGATGACGAAGTGACGTCGATTCGCTACCCAAAGTCAGAAACACTGTGTTGATGTGCCAGTTGCTTCGAGGAATTGTGTCGATACTGGCGTACACCATTCGTACTTAGTTAGGCCTGTTCAAGGCTTCTATGAACTAGTCCACCACCAGGAGTACAAAAAAGCCCCGGAACATTATCTTTCCATTTACGAAGAAGAAGAACTCAATGGAAAGGGGCCCACAGGCAGTCCTGGCAGAAGGGTGTTTGTGGTGCTACTACACTGGAATTGGTGCCTGCAGCCAAGTACAACCTATGTATGTATGTACATACATACGTACCTATTCAGCTGCCACTTTCAACCCTTGTTCAATGAGGAGCATCCCGACGAATCGATTCTTGACCAAATCTTCCCCTAGATGCTAGATCAAAAGGTGGAGGAGAGGAAGGCCCAGTAGAGGAGCTATGTTACTTGAAGAACTCGATACTGCATAATATGGTATCACGGCAAGTTGGGGGTTAGCGCAACCTTTGACTCACTGACATGATGAGGGGCAAGCCGTTTGCTTGTGCGAGCCAGATTTTCGGAAAATGGTGTACAATAGATAAACAAGCTGATACATGTTGCAGATCATAAATAATTACAAAGACAACAAACATTGTATGCAAGACCTGGAAGTTTGCTGCGAGTTTTATTAGCGATTGACGTACCGCTTTGCATCGGCCTGTTACAGAGTCTCCACCCCCGGTCTCAGCTACCTCTCCAATGCATCATCAATCAGCCACCAACCTCCTTGCCTCAACATTCCATCCGCGCATAATAATCAACAACAGCTGGGCATCTGCGTAGAGACGAACAGCCACTAGCCATGCGTCTCCTACCTATCGTAGCCGCGCTCACGGGTCTGCCAGCTGCGCTCTGTCTCCAGGAGCAGGCGCCGCTAAACCGCGGCCACGGCAAGCTCGACGGCGCCGCGGACAAGCACGCGCCACCGTACCGCAAGGCCCTGCTCGATCTGCACCGGAACCTGGTCAGCATCCCGTCCGTCTCGGGCGCCGAGTTCGACGTCGGCCAGTGGCTCGTCGACTACCTCATCAGCCGCGGGTTCCGCGCCGACGTGCAGTTCGTCGCGCCGCGGGAGGGCACGCCTGAGGGCGCGCAGCGCTTCAACGTGCTGGCCTGGCCCGGCGGGCACCCGGACCCGCGACCGCGCGTGCTCGTCTCGAGCCACATCGACGTGGCTTCGTCGTCGGCGAGGAGGTCGCCGGCGACGGCATGATCACCTTCTCGGACGCGGCGCTGGCGCGCGGCGAGCCGGCCCCCTGGCACTCGGTCATCTTTGGCGAGCCCACGGAGAGCAAGCTCGTGTGCGGGCACAAGGGCGCGCTCTTCTGCGAGATCAAGGTGGCGGGGCAAGCGGCGCACAGCGGGTACCCCTGGCTCGGCAAGTCGGCCAACGAGATGCTGGTCCGCGCGGTGGCGCGCATCCTCGAGACGGACCTCGGCAGCTCCGAGCAGTACGGCAACACGACGTTCAACCTCGGGCTCATGGAGGGCGGTGTCGCGGCCAACGTGGTGGCGGCATCGGCGACAGCCAAGTTTGGCGCCCGCGTGGCGATCGGTCCGGAGAAGGACGGCCACTTGATTGTGAAGAAGAGAATCCAGGCCATTCTGGATGAGGTTGACAAGGATGCGTTTGAAATAACCTGCAACCCCGGATATGGCACTGTCGATTGCAATTGCGACGTTGAGGGTAAGTGTGTTTCTGCCACGTATAGCTTGCGAGCGTAGCTAACACGTGAATAGGCTTCGAAACTCTCACCGTCAACTACGGCACCGACGTTGCGAACCTCAAGGGCAACTTTACGAGATATTTGTACGGGCCCGGTTCCATCCTCGTGGCGCACGGCGAGAATGAAGCGTTGACAGTGGGCGACTTGGAGTTGGCTGTTGAAAATTACGAAAAGCTGATTTTGCACGCGCTGAACAAAAAGTCATAAACCATCTGCATATGAACATCCAGTACAACAGCGTAGCATAGGAATAGAAGGTCCGTCATATTTGCATCATATACCAATTAATTTTGAAAATTATAGCGCTTTTCTTTTTCAGGCCTTGACAACCTGCGCCCAGCGATCAGGCATGATTCTGGAAAAATCGAACTTGCCGTCCGCACCCTTTTCGACGGCGCCCTTTTCAGTGACAACAGCGTCAATGAGCTCTGCCGGCGTCACATCAAATGCTGGGTTCCAGACGTCGATACGCTGGTCGGCCGTCGCCACGCGCACCTTGGTCGTCTCGTCGACGGTGCCGTCGGGTTTGATGACGGCGCCCGTAATCTGTGTGAGCTCCGACGGCTTGCGCTCCTCAATCTTGATGCCGTCGCCCGTCTCGGTCACGAGGTCGATGCTCGTCGTGGGCGCGGCGACGATGAACTTGATGCCGTGGTGGCGGGCGAGGACGGCGAGTTGGTAGGTGCCGATCTTGTTGGCCGTGTCGCCGTTGCGGACCACGCGATCGGCGCCGACGATGACGGCGGCAATGTTCTTCTCGGCACCGCGCGTGCGGAAGAGCGAGGCGGCCATGGAGTCGGTGATGAGCGTGCTGGGGATGCCCTCGAAGACGAGCTCGAACGCTGTCAGGCGGCTGCCTTGGTTGTACGGGCGCGTCTCCGTGCAGAAAGCGTGCTGCAGGAGGTCCTTGGACCGTAGCGTGCGGATGATGCCGAGGGCAGTCCCGTGGCCCGAGGTGGCCAGCGAGCCGGTGTTGCAGTGGGTGAGCACGGAAATCTGATTGGAGGGACCGGCGCGGGCATGCACGCGCAGCCACTCGGCGCCGTGGTCGCCAATGGCCAGGTTGGTCTTGAGATCCTTCTCGAAGATCTTTTCGGCCTCGTCGATGAAGGCTTGTACGATTTCGTCTTTGGTAGCGGCATCGCCCGCAGCGCGTATTCTGAGCTTGAGCTGGTTGATGGCGTTGGTCAGGTCCACGGCAGTTGGGCGGCTTTCCTTGAGATAGTCGAGGGCGCTGTCGATGAAGGCTACGGTATCCTCGGCCGAGCCGTCAGGGACGGGGCCATTATGCAGCTCAACAGCGAGGCCCAGGCTCGCGACAATAGCAATGGCCGGGGCGCCGCGGGTGCGCATGCTGGCAATGCTGTCAAAGGCCTCTTGGCGGGTTGTGACATTGTCGTAGTGGAATTCGTGGGGCAGACGGAGTTGGTCGAGGACCTCGAGCTTCCCCCGAGTGTACTTGACGGCGTGCAGAGTCGACATGATCGCGGAAGTCTTCTCTAAAAAAAGGAATAGTTAAAAAGAGCTGCTTAAGGAAAAAAAGTAGCGAAGTCAACCGCGATATAATGTGCCCCTCCATCCTGCTGGATAATTCTGCCGCAACCCCGCTAAAGGCTCAGCACGTTGATGGCGTCAGGCCAGGGACTGGCTTGCGCTGTAAAACGCCGCACGGCCCTTCACCGCCCTGTGGCTAGCGCATCCCCAAAATGCACTTGTGGCGCTGATTGCTCCTGTCAGGGGGCCGGTGAGCTTCAAGCTGCTGCAGCTGCGCCACGTAAACCCCAGGTCCAAGTTGCGACAGACACCTTCACACTGCACACGACGCTTTTTCTAACGCTGCTCGCGGGAGACCAATGGCAAGCGCGTTGCCATGGAGCAGCAAGCTTCAACGTCAAAAGTTACCGGTAAATCTTTTGCTCCCGAGTCACCGAGTTCCCGCTCGCACGCCTGCCCTTGCTAACCACCATCTCTCACCGTCTCTCTAGTCGAGTACTTTGACCCCCATGATGTCTACGAGCTCCTGAAACCGGGGTTGATTCCACGATTACCGCTGCACAATCTCCACTGGCAATCGCATTCAGGGCCGCTGCGTTCGATCGACACCCTCCACATTGAGCTGGTGGACGGCGGCAAGCTCCCGCAAGACGAGACGCCCGCGGCAGCCAAGCAGCCTGCCACTTCCGACGCAAAGGATGATGGCTTCCAGACGCAAGCCGTAGGTGGCCAAAGCGATACTACGGAAAGCAGCGAATCTAAACCCGCGGCGACAAAAGGCACATCAGGCCGGCGCCACCAAATTCCCGGGTTGCGCCGCACGCCCTACCTCAAAGTCCTGTTGGTTCGATGCGACGACAATGATTCCTACAAAAATACTGTTCGTTCCGAAGTTCGCGAATGGATCAAGCAACATACACCGCCGACGAGCTCCTCAAAAAAGGCTAGCAACCAGGAGAACCATGACGCGTATGAGTGGCTCATTCTGCATGTTGTTATTCCCAACACGGCAGCATCCACCCAACCGCGCAGCACCGGCAAAGTAGAAGGCGGCGCAGACAAGACTACCACTTCGCGCTGGAGAACAGGGTTGACACCTCTTCTCGAAAAGTTCCGCTCCGACTTCAACAGTTCCAGCAAGGGTGCCCCGGATCGCATCGCCCAGATTCGTATAGGCATCAACGATGTTCCTTATGATATGCTGCCGCGAGTTGTCCCTGCCGTACCCTCGGGCTATAGCGAAACTGAGCAGGATGCTGAGAGGGCTTGGAACGATGTAATCACCAAGTTCAAGAATCTGATCCTAAGCTCCTTCGACAAACGGGTTACACAATACGAAGAAGATATCAAGGAGAAGGATACCCAGCGTACACTGCCGGGCTGGAACTTTTGCACTTTCTTCATTCTCAAGGAGGGACTAGCGCTTGGCTTTGAAAACGTCGGGCTTGTTGAAGATGCTCTTGTTGGCTATGACGAACTCAATGTTGGCCTCGATCTGGTCCTTGCTGAACAGGCCGAAACTGGCGAGCCTGAAAGCCACGGCGGCGCGATGCTGCCGTACAGTGATGATCTCAAGAAAATTGCCCGCAAAGCATTGAACGAGGCTTCGGGGTCCTCAAACGACGAAGAGGCTGTTGACATGCAGTCTGCCACCAAATCAGCAGTCGATGTCGATGATATACCCATTAGTCCTACGAAGAAGGCATATCGCGACATGATCCTGGCAAACAAGGTTTCCGTCTTGGACTTCAGATGCTACATCTTCTCCCGTCAAATCGCGCTGTTGTTGCGCCAGGGCAACACATCTGTTACTAGAGAGCAGCTCCTTTCCCGGCTTAAGGAGCAACAAGAGTCCATTCTTCATGGCGTAGCGCCACTTGCAAAGGCCACCCCCCAAAAGGAAGATGATACCGAAAATCTAACTACTTTGGCAGAGGTTTGTCGAAGAACGCTCGAATTTATCCCATCTTTGTCAAATGTCATGCGACACGACATCATAACGTCTCTTTCAGAGGATGACCTCAACAACAAAAAAGAGGATATTAATGCTGAGGCGCACCAAATCATTGACAACTTGGTCTCATCTTTTGCATTTTCCATTGCACAGCAAATTTTGGCGCAAACAAACACTAAGGCGCTACCTATCCCACCATCATCCTTACCCCCCGCAGACAGGGCAGAACAAAAAGTTTCAATACCAGAGCCCAAGACTATGATGCACCCAGCCAGACATTCTTCCCTCAATGAAAGATCGCCGAGGAATCCTCCAAGTCCGGGGTTCCCCGGCCCTGGTCGTGCGATCACGACGCCGGCGGGTGATGAACACAACTCCCCATTTCTCAAGGTTGGCATCGAGGAGCTGGCCGCTAGCCGCGCAGAGCTGTACATGATGTCACGAAGTATTCTATCAAGACTGGGCAAGATACGAGGCTGGAGCACTGGCTGGGACGAAGCACCGATTGTTAACGAATCAGGCATTGAGGCCATGGATGAGATTAGCCTCGACGATGATACTAATGAGAGCAACGATAATGATTTAAGGCATAGCGAAAAGAAGCCACCTGCAGATATCACACCTACAGGTGCTGGAATTCGCAGCCAACTGCTAATTTCTGCAACGGAAAACTCCGAGGACTTCTACCGCCTTTACGAAATTATGACCGACAAGGCGCTTCGTCACTACACGGTGGCTGGCCAACAAGGTGCCGTACAGACTGCAATTGCTGACTTGGCTGTCCTTAAATTTCTCATGAAGGAGTACGTCACGGCCAAGTCTTATTTTGATAAGGCACTGCAGTACTTTGGGGAGTCCGGATGGAGCATCATTGAGCTCTCAATGCTGGTCATGTACCTGCAATGTCTGAGCGAGCGCAACGCCAGCCTCGAGTATGTGAGGGCTGCTTTGCAACTACTTACAATGTCGAGTGCTGCCGAATTGTCACGGATTCAAGACTCATCAGCGCGCCAGTTCCGGCCCAGGCAGGAAGCAGTTGACTCGCCTATCAAGGGCATTGTGGCCAAGCTGTGTGAGGTAGCGTCCTCTCTACGCAGCGATGTCCGGTCACCGCTGTCACTGTTCTTTACCAAGGTAGAAATATTGGGAACGCCAAATTACGAAGACGGCCGCGATGGAAGCTCCGTTTCAATTGGCATCTGGAGCCTACTACCTGATGACCTGCATCTGGATAAGATCCAGCTGAAGGTATCTGGCGTAGACGCCGGCCCGATCAAGGAGCTCACCTTTGCGAACAAAGACCCTGTCGTTTTAAAACCGGGCAAAAACAAGCTATCAGTCTACACTAATGTAAGTGCATTTGCCTCTGGCATGTCACGCAATGCTAACTCCATGTAGTCCGTTCTTGCTGGCAAGTACAAAGTCAACCACTTTGGCTTGCATTCTAGTCGCATTTTCCTGCACTACGACGCAGACGTCCACACCTCTCAATCACCTGCCCCGGCTATCTTCAAGCAGCCCGAATTTACCCTCTACCAGCACTCTAGCGCCCTCGATGTCGAACTTAAGGCCGCCAAGCACACGTCCCTGGACAAGAATAACAGCCTTGATCTTTCACTTAGTACGGGCTGGAACACGCTTAAGCGCTGCGAGGTCCGCGTCAAACCCAGCTCCGGGGGCCTGCGTCTGCTCACGACCGGGGCGACCGTTGTCGATTCCGCCGTCGAGCTGGCGAAGCCTCCCGAGTCTGGACTCTTCCACTTCAACGCCATGGCGCCCGAAACGTCCGTCATCTTGCGGTTCCCCTTCTCCACAGAGCTCGACCTCGACGACGTCTTTGCCAAGGTCGAAGTGACGTACGTCACTGACACCGACGAATCATACCACCTCGCCAAAACTTTCAGCGTCCCTGTCGCCCTCGCGGTGGGCGTCAACGTTCAGGATGTGTTCAAGCACGGAGCGCTCTTCTCGCGGTTCAACGTCACCACAGCCACGAGCGGCCCGCTCCGGTTGTACAAGAGCGAGCTCCTCGACTCGGAATTGTTCTCTGCCACATCAGGCGCGGCAGCGGCGGTGGCGCCCATAGCCGTGTTCCCTAAGCAGTCTGCTGGCCTCCTCTACCGCGTCCGTCGCAAGAGCGACGTCCGCGTCGCCACCCGCACCGCCAAGACCATGTACCTCAAGCTTCACTACACGCAGCTGCACACCGAAGTCGCCGACCGCATCCGGGGGTCTGTTTGCGCAGCGCTCCACACTGCCTCCCTCGGCCCCTACGCGCGAGCTGTCGTCGCGTCCCTCGCCAAGGACCTTAAGCGCAGCCTGCAGCCGCAGGACCTCGAGCGCGCCGCACTCCTCGGCGAGGTGTCCACCTCCTTCCTCCACGGCGTCCCCTGGGAGAAGCGTCTTCAGGGGCTCGCCGCCGAGTCTGTCGTCCGCAGTATCGCCGCGTGCCTCGGCAAGTGGCAGGCCGAGCACAAGCGCCTCCCCGTCCTCAGCCCCGACGAGGCCGCCAGCGAGCCGTCCTCCATCCTAATCCCCGTCGAGGTCCCCTCCCTCACCGTCGTGCACACCGCCGACATCCGCCTCCGGCATCCCCTCCCCGCCGCCATCAACGACGCCACCGGCGGCAGCAGCAGCACCGCCACGCCCGCCGTCTTCCTCAACCAGGTGCTCCACGCTACGCTGCACCTCAAGTGGACGCGCGTCTGGGATACGGAGAGCCCGCGCACCAAGGACCTCGAGTTCAGCTACGACGTCTCCGCCAGTCCCGAGTCCTGGCTCGTCGGCGGCCGCCGCAAGGGTCGCTTCGTCATCCCTGGGTGCGCCGCCGCCGACAGCGCCGCCGATGCGGGCGACGCGTCGTCGTCCACGCCCGAGACGGAGGCCGAGATACCGCTCATCCTGATCCCGCAAAAGGAAGGCTGGCTTCCCTACCCGAGCGTCGACATCCGCGAGGTGGTGAGCGCCGACACATCGAATCGGGGCGAGAGCGGCGGCGCCGGTGGGGCGCCTCACTCTGGCGCGGGACATAATATCGAAGTCGATTGGAGAAACCTAGGAGAGACGGTGCGTGTTGTTAATGATAAGCAGGCAGTCACGGTCAGCCTGGACGCAAGTGGCCCTGCAGGCGGACCGTTGGTGCTTGAGAGTGAAAGCCGACCCCATGTTCAAGGTACTCGTATAGTAGCCTAAAACCAGTACAAAACGAAATGGATTCACCAATCAATACACTATGCAAATATATATTGAAATTTGACTAGCGGCTCATTCTATGAAACGATTGATATTTTAAAACTTGAAAACAACAAACGCGTACAATGCCTTCCGACAAAAGCTCCCAGGCGACAAAAAGCTGCTTATATTGACCCGTGCCGGACGATGGAGATTGAAATCCATGTTATCAATACCTTGCGTCAGAACTACAGCACCTTTGATTGCTTCTCGCGGCATCCGTTGAAGGACTACGAAGCAACATTGGTGCTTGACTATAGAATCATGCAACCTTACTTGGTTGCGGCCTCGTCGAGTGCACCCAGTCGCAGGCGAGGGCTAGCTCTGGGAGGCTCTTCGTCATCCTCAAAATATTTTGCGGAAGTCGGAGTGAAATTGCGAAGGCGTTTGCCGGACTTTTCTGCACTGGCGTGTCGTGAAGGACTCTCGCACACAGGATCAGGTTTCACGATGACGCTATCGGATCTGAATAACTGTTGAGAGATTCTTCGCACGCTGGCAGGTTCTCCGCTGAGAGAGATTGTGGCGTTTACTGGTGGAGGCGTGACAAGCTGCTTTGCCTTGTTCTCTTTTCTTGACTTCACCTTCATCGCTGGGGTCGGTAGTATCTGTGGCGAAATAGTTACCGACTGGCTCAGAAATGAAGTACTGGCAGAATTGCTCGCAGAGATAGGAGTATTGGTTGAAAGCATCGTAAAGTGTGCATCTATAAGAATTAGCTAGATTCAGAAGGCTTCTGATAATACACACCCTCAGCTTCTGTGATATTGATATCACAGGTTGTGGGAGTGTTGGTGGGAACTTTCATGTGGCTGCTGTCGCCTTCACTGTTTATCTTGGGTGCAAAGCTGTCGCGTCTGTTCTCAGCAGCTGCAGGTGTTTCGACGCAGGAAACGTAGTCAGGCATGCTTGCATCAGTGCTTGACTTGCGGTTCACGCGACTGGCAGCCTCGGTGTTCACAGACGAGCTAGGATCACTGTTAAGACCCATACCAATGCCGCTTAGCCATTCAAAATAAGCATTGGCTTCGACGAAGGGATCAGCGGCTGCCAGGTTAGACGACGAAAGGGCGTCTGAATCCGAGAATGTAAGCGGTTTGGGCTCCGCTGTGTACTTTCCCGGATGAAGTAGCGCTGGATCAGAGGCCACTTCGGTCAATGACGATTTTGCAGGCACCATGCTGCTTCGGGGGCGAGGCGAGTGTGCGTGAGATCCGCTGCTATCAGAGTGTTTGGTGGGAAGCAATGCTGATGCGGTAAATGGCATCGCCCGAAACATGGACGCGTTTGGCCATGCAATCGCAGAGCTTTCAAGTATCTCTGGCAAACAGTTAGAGTTGATCTCACGCCGGGAAGAGAACCCATACCGAGAGGGGCGTGTTGAAAGGAAAAGGCGACAATGTTTTTGACTCTTTCAAACGGAACAGTAAGGGAGTCTCGAGGATAACTTTCGCTGATGACGACCTTGATGCGACCGAGATCATCGGCAGGGCTCCAGTAGCTCTGATCGAGGAGCTCCCGTTGAAAGACGGGAAACGTGAGCGAGTTAAGTTCTCCGGTTTCCGATAGTTCTGGCGATGTTAGCAAATCATAGCAATTGGGAACGGACCAAGCGTACCAAATGAGTGCTTTAGGATCTGCTCGGTTCATCACGGAGGACCTACAGTTCCCGTTAGCAGGTAGGCTACGACGGGGAGTCAAGACTAAAAACTGACGACACCAATCTTCCATCTACAAAGAGGCGAACCTCAAAGACCACACGATCTACAAATTTGCCGCACGATCGAGTGAACTGACTGATCGGTGGTGTTGACCAGGAATGTATTGACAACTTGTAAGGGGCACTGGGCGGTAAGCTGGGAACAAAGCAACAGACAGTCGGTAGTCCCAGCGAGCCATGAATATGCGAGAGTTCTAGAAAAATGTTAGCAAAGAAGAGAATAGACAACTTGATACGTACCGTTATCATGAACCACATGGCAGGCTACCTTGAACTCCTTCAGGGGGACTTTGCCATCGCGAGGGAATAGAAGGATATCCCATTCTTCGTAGCGCATGTTGAAGGGGGCTCAGAAAGATGTCGATTTAGTTGGAAATGTAGCCGAAGGTGATGTCAAGAGTTTTGAGGAGCTTCTGCGAATATTGTACTAATGAAGACTCTGCAATCGCCACGACTGGCGCCACCATCAGGCTAAACTGCAAGTAAACATGAGTACCATGTCAGCCGTATGCAAGAGAAAAACTAGTCCAGAGGCACCGCGGCAACCAATGGCACCGGACAGGAAGCGAGGTTATCTGGCAGCAGGAGTGGACATACCGAACAGAGGGGGCGGCGGAACGCCCCTGCCTGTCAAACAAACGAGTCCTTCGGGCTGACAGTCTCAGCTAAGCGGCTGCATAATCTGATACAAGGCAAGGGGACTTGGAGGAGGATGGAAGCTTCCTCTGGAGGAATAGTTCTGTGAAAGAAGGAATGTACTTGTTATTGTTGTTTGGGGGAGAAGATAGCGGCAAAGCTGCCCGTCTGGCGGCCTTCAAACACGTTGCCAGCTGCCAGACAAGCCAGGCGTATGTAAACAAAGCTCTCCAGTACCTAATCCACTGACCTCTCAAGTCCTTTTTGTGCCCGTCACCATGGAACATCATGCACAGAATAGAGATTGTTTTGACGTTCTTGTATTGCTTAAAGGTTATTTAAATCCGTGTTATACAGCGATACCCGCAGTATGCCATTTCAACCACGCAACGCATCGCGGCGTTTAGGCGGGACCGAGTAATCGAACAACAAAGAAACTCAATAGTCCCTCCTCCCAACTGCTGTCATGCGTGTTTATGTACAAAAGAAAGCTCGGGTTGGTCTTTGATGCTGTTTTCAAGGATCTTCATCGCCCTCCATGCGTGCCTAGTAGATTGTGTTAGCGGCGTCTGGCCGACTGTCAACGATTTCGTAACATACCCTCACGGCGCCGGGTCCACCAAGCTCTTTCTCGAGGCCACCCTCAAATTCACGGGGATATGATGGTCTATCGGGGTAGTTGAGATAAACAAGTCCGCAGACACCGAGGAAAGTCGCGACGAAAGTGCCAATCATGATGAGGCCGGGGCCAGTTGTGGTCCAGGTATATTCCCAGGGTGAGAAGATACCGAGCACGTCGTTGTCTTCGTGGACGGGCTCGCCAAAGTTACGGCGCTCCTGGGGGTCCCACCACTGCGCATAGGGGTCACGGTGCTGGCGCTTGACGCGAGGAGGGTTGATGTAACCGCCATTCTGCGTATCGTTAGCCGTTCGGTTCTGTTCGGTCCAATCACGGTGGGGTGATGCAACTGACCATCTCAGGGTCTTCGGCCGCAGTCATCGTAGGTGGGTCGGGGTATTTCTCATCGAGAGTCTTTTTGTCGGCGAAATGCGTCGGAAGATAGGCTCGGCGCTGGACAATTGGCGCGCGGCGAGCAGCGACAAGGCCGTTGCGCAGGGCAGAGGAGCGCACAATTCGTTGGGGCAGCATCTGCGGCGAGGGGTCAATGTTAATTAACAGTGTCGATTTTCGTTCAATAGAACGATTCAGCGACGAACCTTGAGCGAATTGATTGCGTTGCGGCGACCAAATAGCCCTCTAATTGATGACTTGTTGGAGAAGCTGTCGAGTAGGCGGCTTTGGTGTTGAGGTTCATGACAACTGGGTGCCTGAGGCAGAGACGAGAAAGTCTCGCGACGCTAGCCGGGTCGGGAGTGCGAAAGACAAGGAGAAGAGGAGCAGCCTTTGGAGACTTGGAGAGTAGATAGGAATTAAAAGCCATTTCGGGGAAGATTACAAAAGATGTGTTTTTATCAAAAAAGTTGTATTTTTGTTCTATCGTACATGCAATTATCATTGCATTCTTTCTCTTTCTCTTTTATTGCCTCAATACACGACGAGACTGGCAGCTCTTGCTCCAGAAGCACCTCCGCCACCAAGGCAACCCCACCACCAAGTCCGCAGTTATTAGGGGGATTGCCACTGGAAGCACTAACTGCTACAGCTCTCCAAGTCAGTCCAGCGCGTCCTGGCATGCGCTCGTCCATCATCATCTCGCCAAAAAGTTTTGCCCTCGTCATCAACGACCAGCGAAAATCAGGCCATACGCCGCCGATACAGCGCTAAATATGGGCAGACGTCGTGCAGGCCTTTGGAGATACACTACGCATCTGTAGATTTTAAATTTCTGCAATAAATGCTATCCGCGCGGAATCAAACACCCCCCCTCTGCCTGGCTCCGTGTCGTGACCATGGCCGACAACGCGTCGCCAGGCAAGCCTGAACCCGTCGAAGACCCCCCAACCCTCAAATCAGAGCAGGATGGTGCCCCCGCGCAACCGTCCAACGGAAAGCCGTTAAACGGCGATACGATCATCGTTCAAGTCAATGGATACTCCGACGACGACGACGCGACCTCTACCACCAACGGCCACGCTGCCCAGAACCACGACTCCCACGCTCATGATGATTCGGAGCGCCCGGCCAAGCGACAACGGACTCGAGATACGACACCCCCACCTAGCGCGCGAAAGCCAAAACCAGAATCGCCACCGTGGAAGCAGGCCGCTGCCGATGGTCCAACCTCCTTCACTGAGAACGGCCGGCGCAAGTCAGGGCGCATCAACCTGCTCCCGTTGGAACTGCAACCGCAAGGCAAAAAGCGGACGACCCGGCGCTCTCTCGGTGGACAAAACAAGACACCAAAGAAGGAGGAACGGACAACCTCTTCCAGAACGTCACGAACGACGGCCGCAACCCCTGTTTCGCGACAATCACGGAAATCGTCGACAACGCAATCTGCCCCGAACTCTTCATCAAAAATACCAGCAAAAAGAGCCGCCCCAATACCGAGATCTGCCATTAAAATCCGCAGACGTTCGCCTTCACCTCCCCCAGTTCACACTCGGCATTCGACGCGACCGACACGATCATCTCGACATGCTGACACCGATATTAACGATGGACTTGATTTGAAACGGTCACCTCGAGCTAATCTCCGCGTCGGCCGTTCTGGAGAGATACCACTGGTCCACCCAGGGCAAGTGCCAAAGCGACCAAAGCTAGGCACCAGCTTTGAGGACTTTTGGGTTCGTGCCGGTGATCTTCCAGTTGAAGAAGGCGGCCTGCAAGCCTCAGAGGATGGTCCGTTTTACACAGAAGAACTAGCGCGGAAAGATGCCAAGATAATACTGAGGATCGAGAATGAAACGGAACCTGGTGGCTTGCTTGCTCCTGGTCGCTGCTCATTATTTGCACCCGAAGGAGATGAAGATGTTCCCCGACAATGGGCACGCCAAGATCACATGGCCAAAGCCGTAGCAAATTTCCGGAAGCTACTTGTTGCCGAGCAGCAGCGTCATCGATTCACCGCAAAGAAGCTTGCAGAAGCCTGTCGTGACGAGTGGATACGAAGGCAGCCCAAGTCAGCGGAGCAGTTGGAAGCCGAAGCTCGAGAATTATGCCTGGCTCGATACAAACAAGTCTTGAAAGCCATGACTGGAACATGGGAGAATGTGCGCGCCTACGTCAACAAACAGCGCCTCGAAGCATGGGAAATTGAGGAACAAAAGCGAGTCAAGGCCGCTTTAAATGAGGCAGTTAGTCTCTCGGAGCAGAAACTTCAGGCTCGGCGAGGGGGTATTGATTCTGAGCCTGTATCCGACGATGATGGCTTTGATGATCTGAGTGACGATATGAGCGATGGTATGAGCACAATGGAACAGGGAGATTCAGACCTAGCATCCGACGAAGGCAGCGACAATGATTCCGATGAAGATAGCGATGTCATGTCATCCTCAGAAGATGAGGATGGTGATGATGTTAAAGACGTCGCCGACGAGGGCCTTACACAAGAGCAATTGCGCTTGAAATACGCCAACATCCCCGACTTTGACCCTGGCAGCAATGAGGATGCCACCGATGCGCCGACCGATGCGCCGACCGATGCTGCGACGACGCAAGTTGGGGCCGAAACAACCGACGTAGGTGCCGAAACGACCGACGAATCGATTGATATGGATGACGACCTGGGGTCAAGCGATATGGGCGAAGCTGCTGGCAGTGATGAATCAGAGGAGGAAGAGTCAGAAAGTGATGGTGGAGGCATGCTAGGACTCTTGTTTGGCAAATCTGAGCTTAAGAAAATTAAGCAAGAAGCTGAAAGCGAAGCACCCACAGCTGCAGACGACACTGAGTTGCCAGCTTCGACAGCCGGCGTCAAGGAGGAGCAGTCCTACTTTGGCGATGATTTCGACGACGAAGATGAAGTAACCTTGATACAGCATCCGGATTTCCCCACAAAGGTTCAGGAGAGGCCAGTCGACAAGGACGAGTTTGTTAGTATGGAGAATGGCGGGCATGGAGAGGAGTCAGAGGTCACGAATCTGGTTGAAGCTGACGCGATGGAGGTGGATGAGGTACCAGTTGAAACAAACCCCATGGAAACTGCCCAACCCGAAGTCGAGGATCTAGCAATGGCGAACCATGATGTGGAGTGCGAGACAGTAGAGCCGAAGCGACCCGCCAGTCCGGAGACAGACGCGATGTCGAATGCGCACACTGCAGAACCTACCCAGACGCCCGAGACTACCGATACCAAGGCTTCAGAAGTGGACTCTTCTTCTGCGCCTATACTAGCCAAGCCCAGCACAGATGACGACATATCGGACTCCCCCGGCAAAGAATTGACTCACAAGATTGAAGTGCCTTTTCTCCTGCGAGGCACTCTGCGCGAGTACCAGCGGGACGGCTTGGACTGGCTTGCAGGATTGTATGCCAACCACACAAATGGTATACTGGCAGATGAAATGGGGCTGGGAAAGACTATTCAGACAATTGCACTGCTAGCGCACCTCGCGTGTCAACATGAAGTCTGGGGGCCGCATTTGGTTATTGTGCCGACCAGCGTCATGCTCAACTGGGAAATGGAATTCAAGAAGTGGTGCCCTGGGTTCAAGATCCTCGCCTATTATGGTACTCAAGAGGAGAGAAAGAGAAAACGCCAGGGTTGGAATAATGATGATGTGTGGAACGTCTGCATTACGTCGTACCAACTAGTGCTCCAGGATCAGCAAGTGTTCAAACGTCGGCGATGGCACTACATGATCCTGGACGAAGCGCACAACATCAAAAACTTTAAATCGCAGCGATGGCAAACTCTACTTGGTTTTAATACACGAGCGAGATTGCTGCTCACTGGCACGCCGCTGCAGAACAATTTAACGGAGCTGTGGTCGCTTCTGTTCTTCCTCATGCCTGCGCAGAATGGCGAGGGCGGCTTCGCGGACCTTCAAGAGTTTCACGAGTGGTTCCACAAACCCGAATCTCAGATTTTGGAGAGCGGCCGTGAGCAGATGGACGAGGAGGCAAAGGCAATCATATCCAAGCTCCACAAGGTTCTGCGGCCATATCTGCTGCGTCGATTGAAAGCAGATGTCGAGAAGCAGATGCCAGCCAAGTACGAGCATGTCGAGTTCTGTCGACTTTCAAAGCGTCAACGCGAGCTATACGATGGCTTCCTCTCTCGATCGGATACCAAAGAAACGCTGTCGTCTGGCAACTATCTGTCCATTATCAACTGTCTAATGCAACTGCGAAAAGTGTGCAACCACCCGGATTTGTTCATCGACCGGCCCATCATGACATCGTTCCGCCAAGAGAGTTCAGTACCGGCAGAATATCAAGTGGCAGAGCAGCGCGTGCAGCGTCTTTTATTACGAAAACATCCGATGCGCGAAGTCGACCTCGAATTTCTCAACCTAGTGCCGGCGAAAAAGGAGCTACAGTCAATCGCAGCCTGTGACCGCGTTGCTCAGCTCAGCTCGTACCGAATCATGATTGATATGAAGGAAGCACAGCATGTTCGCGCACAGTATGCGTATTCGCACTTGGATCCCTTGACGGTTGAGTCCACGGTACGCTATCTGGAGAGTGCAGCGCGATGGGGCAGATTTGAAGAATTGCAACATTCAGTGTACATCAATGCTCTTCGGCGCCAACAGAGACCCGTTTATGGCTCCGACTTGATCGAGATGCTGACGATTGATGCGCACAAAAGGCCCTACCGACCTCGACCAAAGGTGTCAAAGTTTATCATGAGTTGGTTCGAGGATGAGTCGTCGCACTTGAACGCCCTGACACCGAGCCTGCATGAACGCGCAGATGAGTACAAGATTCTCATTGAAAAGTTCTCATGCGTCACTCCCGCCGTAGTCACAAGAGACATGAACGAAATTGTGTTGGGTCGCAAGGCGGCGGAACGGTTCAGCGACGAGGATCTGAAGCTGTCTGCCCCTGTGCGTTGGGCACCTTTTCTACCAAAAGAGGCGCCAGCAGATCCATGGCACGAAGCGAGAATGCGACACACTATTCAATTCCCAGACAAGCGACTTCTTCAGTACGATTGCGGAAAGCTGCAAGCCCTGGACAAGCTCCTACGTAAGCTGCAGTCTGGCGGCCATCGGGCGCTCATATTTACGCAGATGACAAAGGTGCTGGATATTCTGGAGCAGTTTTTGAACATCCACGGACATAAATATCTGCGACTGGACGGTGCAACCAAGGTTGAACAGCGACAGATCCTGACTGATCGGTTCAACCACGACCCGCGCATCTTGTGCTTTATCCTCTCGACGCGATCCGGCGGTCTTGGCATCAACCTGACTGGTGCAGACACAGTCATCTTTTACGACCAGGATTGGAACCCGGCGATGGACAAGCAATGCCAGGATCGATGCCATCGAATTGGTCAGACGCGAGACGTGCACATTTACCGACTGGTGAGCGAGCACACGATCGAAGCGAATATTCTACGCAAGGCATCGCAGAAGCAGATGCTCGACGATGTTGTTATCCAAGAAGGAGAGTTCACTACGGACTACTTTAACAAGATGTCGATCAAGGATGTGTTGGCGGACAAGGTTGACGATACCAGTGAAGGCGTTTCTGCGGCGGATGCTGCGCTAGATCGTGTGCTGGGCGGGGGTGACGGCAACCGTGACCAACGGACGGTGGGCAGAGCGTTGGAGCAAGCTGAGGACCGGGAGGATGTGGCGGCTGCTCGGGTGGCCGAGAAGGAGATCCACGACGATGATGCCGACTTTACGGAGAGGGCAAGCGGCGCTCCGTCTGGCACGTCGACGGCACGTCAGGGAACACCGCTGGACAAGACGGACGTGGAGTTTGGCGACGACGGCCAAGTGGTGGAGGTGGAGTACAACGCGTACGGGACGCGGATTGGGACGATTGACGACTTCATGCTGGCGTTTATGCGGGAAGCACTGCGGTACACGAAGCTGGATCTGCCCAAGGACAAGAAGAAGGGCAAGAAGAAGGGTAAGGATACGAGGAAGCGGTGATGACGCAAGCAAGCGACGTTTTTCGGTGTCTGGGTTTCCCTGCTTCTTTTTGGGTATTCTAATGGGCGTTTCAAAAGAGAAGGACTGTACAATAATAGCGATGCCAACTCTGTGGGGATGTTTGCCCCTTTGGCTCTTTTTCCATATCATTTATTGCATGGCGCCGAGGACCTACGTGGAGGGTCTTGCATGGTCCGTCTATTGGATCGAATGGACTTGGTTGCAGGGAGTTTAATTGAAAAGAGGACAAAAGTTCAATCAGTTGGAAATCGGATTAGAAGCGAAGAAGAGGGAGTAAATTATTGTACCATATTGTGACTATTCTAGACGAGGCAAGTCTATCTGCGGCACTTGGGGGGTGTGCGAAATGATTGCGTCGACTACAGTGATAGTCAAGCGCGTGCAATCTTTTAGAGTAGTGTGCTATTGGCACGACCCTTTTTTATTTTTAAACTAATATCTAGTTACTTCATAATCAGTTGGAAAATCATTAAGGACACCTAGTCTCGGCCAGTTCCAACAGCGGTAATGGCCGGCGGAATGACCGAATTGCCCTGTCGAGTGACTAATAATAACCAAGGCTGATCCATGCCTACTAGCTGAATTTCTAGTATTCCGCTTAAATGCTTATTAGCGATTTTTCGTTTCTCCTTCTGGCCTTGTCGATCGCCCGCCATTACATCTTACAACACTCATCTTGTGTACAAAGAACGTCTGTGGCAAAGAAAGTCACCATTATCCACCACGTGTTCAAGAGTGAGCTGCAAGAAGAAAAAAAGAGAAAAAAGTCAGACGCTCAACCGTCGAAAACACCCAGGTAGCCATCAACGCGCTTTGCATCCATTCCCTCCACCCTCGTTCAGCCCTACCACATCACCATGGCAGATCGCCAAGAGCAGATCGATGCTGTGGCCAAGCCCTCCACGTCAAGGCGCTCCAGCACAAGCCCAGATTCAGACTCAGACATGCCCTCGCTCAACGGTACATCTGCCGATGACGCGCGCCTCGCCGCGCTGCGCGGACAGGCGTTGCCCGAAGACCCGGCCGTCTACCTGCAGAGAGAGGGCGAGGCCGCCGTGGTCCACGGCATCAGGCACCACCTCGCCTTTGCGCAGTCGCCCGCCGTCGTGGCGCTCTGCCAGAACCCGGCGCGCAAGATCTTCGCGCGGGCCCGGCACGCCCGCCTCATCATGAGCGACCTCATCCCCGAGATCCCTGACGACGGCGACGCGGCTCTGCTGCCGTACTGCATCTGGCACCCGGACGTCGCGCGCGAGGCGACCTACCACGAGGTCGCGCGGCGGTACCCGGCGCTGCGGTACAGCGTCGCCCGCGCCTGCGCCGTGGCCGGCTACGCGGGGCTGTACCGCGAGCTCGACGTGCTGCCGGAGGTGACCGTCGCGGAGGAGGCGCAGGCATCGTCGGCCCCGGGGGCGCGGGAGATTTCGGACGCCATCATGGCTGCGCCGGTGCGCTACGGGGTCATGAACGACTACGAGAACCGGCTCTTTGCGGAGCCGAGGGCCGGCGCGCGCCTCAACGCCGACACGGCGGTCGTGCCCGTGCTGCGCCGCGTGCGCACAACCCACACGGCGGTCGTGCCGGACGCCTGGCCAAGGTACTGGGACGTGGAGGAGGACGGCTACATCGGCGAGGAGAACCTCGGGCACGCCGGCGATGACTACTGCGGCGCGGTGGGCGAGGTTGAGCGCGCGCTGCTGTCGCGGCCGCTGCCGGAGGACCTCCCCGCGGGGGTCAACAAGGACGTGCTGATCCTGATGGCCGCGTACGAGGGTAACGCGGACCGGTACGCGCGGCTGGAGCGGCCCGGTGGCATCCGCGGCGAGGAGGCGTGCATCGCGCGGGGCATCTTCCACAGCACCACGTTCGCCCTGCACTGGTCGGCGCGGGGCGTCCGGGGCGCTCTCGCGGCGGCGGTGCACGCGCGCCGCGCCATGCTCAACGACCTCTCCTGGCTCGTCCCCGCGCTGCCCGAGGAGGAGCTGCCGTACATGATCTGGTACCCGCTGCGGCCGCGGCACCTCACGCTGTGGGAGATTGCGCGGCGGGAGCCACGCATGTGGTTGGCCGTGGCGCACGCGTGCGTCGCGTGCGGCTACCGCCCGCTGTTCGACCTGCTGCTGCCTAGGATCAAGGCGACGAGGGAGCTGCGGTGGGAGGCGGAGCGCGGCGCGGACAGGCACTTTGAGGAGTCGCTGCGGCGGGTGAAGACGGAGGGCGGTGGGAGGGGGGAGGCGGAGGCGGAGGAGGACAAGGAGCCGACGGAGACGCTGGTGAGCGGGCAGATGGACGTGGATGCGATCGGGGAGGCGCACCATCCGGCGGTGTGGGCGGGGTACGGAGCGAACGCGGCGGCGCTGGAGCTGTACTTGATGGTGCCCGAGGCGATTCGCAAGGCGGCGGCGGAGTCGGAGGTGGGCAACTTTTCGCTGTATGAGGCGGATGATGACGTCGACCGGGCGTGGGACGAGAGCATCTTTGAGGGGTTGGAGACCAAGGACTGAGCTGGCACGAGAGGCAGATGAGAGTTGTAAACATGGAAGGATGGAGGGTTTCTTAAGTAGAGAGTGGTTGCTAGGACGCTCTGGTTGCGGAATTCAGCTGCATATGACTCACAAGATATATAGGAGCGAGGAAGACAGACGATACCATTACAGTGATGCATTGATAGAAAACGAGGTAGATTTGTCAGACTAGGACAACATGGTAAACTATGAAATAGCGAGTGTTTATTGAAATAACTTAACTAAACCACCAGGTATTCAAGTTACAGCATCGCAACCGTGACGTTATCCACAAACATCAAAGTCCCGATTGCACGAACACCAAAACCGCCACTCTTGTACGTGCCATCATGCACCGATATCCTCGGCTTGCTCATGTCCCCGACGTAAACGGAGATGGAATCGCCCTTGGCCTCCACGCGCACGCGCTGCACCATGCCCGCCTTGACATCCGCGGCGTTGACCTGCGACAGCTGCTTCCAGCCGTTGCCGTCCGCGAGGCCGAACACCACCGAGCCGCCGGCGACGCCCGCGTAGTAGCCCTTGTAGCTGTCCGCGCCGGCCGCCGCGGACCCGACGGCCACGCGGAAGATGAGGCCGCCGTTGCCGCCGGAGGTGCTCGTCACCTTGACGTTGGCCTCGAAGGCGAGGTCGCCGAGCGTTGCCTTGTCGCCCTTGACGAGCGCCTTGCCGCCCGGGTTGAAGGAGATCATCTGGCCCTGGTCCGCGCTGAACTTGCCGTCCACGACGGCCCAGCGGTCCAGGTTCTGGGAGGAGAAGTCGTCGGAGAAGAAGGCGGTGCTGGTGGGTGACTGGCTGGACGTGGTCGATGTGGAGGAGGTGCTGGTCGGCTTGGAGGTGCTGGTTGTCGTGGTCGAGCTGACAGGCGGAGGAGGCACATAGGCGTCGCCGCCGGAGACGCAGCCCAGGGATACGCTGGGAGTCTTCTTGTTACTGGCGTCCTTGCTGTAGCCCCAGACCGTGGCGACCATGTAGGTCCTGTTGGCCGCCGCCTGGTAGGCGACGGTGCTGCTCGGGTCGTGGTACCCGGTGCCTATGCGCCAGCTGTACAGCTGCTGGTTCTGACTCGTCTGGAGCAAGCCCTCGTCGTGATCCGCCAGCGTACGACTATCAAAAGCTGCGAGTTCCCTTTTGTTAGCTTAGATGCTACCGTCATACAGGAAAAGACAACTCACCAATAACGTCTTGTCGCGCCTGGCCAAACGAGTCGAAGCAGCGCTCAGGGATGTTGTCAAAGATGCCCGCCGAGCACATGCTGTTCTCGTCCAGCGTACCCCAGCTGCTCGTCAGGCTGTCCTGGAGGTCCTTGACGCACGCGCTGGGCAGGAACGCGCACTGGTCGTCGCCGCCGTCCACGGCCTTCTTCACCTCGGGCTTGGTCGACACGAAGATGTGCCGGCAGACGTACCACGACGGGTCCATGGCCCTGGGCTGCCCGTTGTCCATGAGCGCGGCGGGCGCCCCAAAGGTGAGCGACGTGAGGACGGTGGTCGCGTCCTGCACGATCTGCTCCGACAACGGCATCTCCTCGCCCACGGAGAGGTAGATGCGGTGCACGTCCTTGGTGCTGCCGGGGTACGGCTTGGTCCAGTCGAAGCCCTGGACGGCGGCCGACTTGGAGGCGACGGGCGTCGCGAAGCTCTTGCTCACGTCGCCATAGGGCGCGGAGAGGATGTTGCTCGAGTTTTGAAAGTAGTCAAAGTAGTCCAGGTAAAACGGACTGCTGCCGGAGACTGCCATTGTGATGCTTGATGCTTCTTGGCCGGACGATGGAGGAGCAGAGAGACGACACAGGCAGAGGAGGGGGGGACTGGAGTGTCAGTCGCGATAAAGGGTGCGACTCGGAGCTCAGGGACTCTTTAGGAGTTCTACTATGAGCATCAGCGCAAGTCGCCGGCTGCTTGCTTGCATTGCAGGCTCACATCCAGGATCCTTCCCTTTTTAGAACTTTTATGCATATAACCCCTTGTCCGTTGGTCCCCGCCGCCCCCGCCGCCTTCCGGCTGCCGCCCCCCCGGAGCCCATAGTGGGGCCGAGACCAAGCTGCCCGGTCAGGCAATCCCGGAACGCTATGATAGCCCCGTCAGACGCTAAACCAACTAATTCGTACCTTTACGCGACTCATATCACTGCAGGTCCAGCAAAGATTTGCAATTAATCTTTCCCCGAAGCGAGCCGCAAGTCTCGACGCATTATCGCCTGTCGTTGCCATTTGCAGTAGCCGCCGAGTCGCACAATCAGCGGCGGGATATCGCAAGAGTGGCAATGGCCGGAGTGGCTTGTTGGGGCTGCTTAGAGAGGATGCTCCGTGTAATTAGGTTTGGCAGAAGGACGGGTATTTCGGCACCTATGCGCATGAATTGGTAATCTTGGTGCAAGTTGGTGGCAAGTGAGGAGTTAGTCGGCAGTGTGCGAAACGAGTTGCAAAGACAAAGGCGTTAGGCAATGCGAGCTCACGACTTACCAGGCTCATGATTTAGCCGGCTCACGTTTACTTGGCACAGTTTGCTCAAGTGCTTGTTCAGAGAAAGTACAACAATCAACATATTCAGACAACTACTCAAGACTGAAAATTCTGTAATGGAGGTAGCCGCAACATAGCACCAAAAATCTCCACCCCCCCCTTTAGCACGCGGTGAACCTCACCTTGACAGCCTTCCACAGCTCCAAAGTCTGAAAGTGCGTCTTGGCCGCGTCCGTGTAGTCGACGCTCGGCGCCTTGGGCCCGTCCTTGGGAAACTTGTCGCGGCCGTAGTTGGCCACGTACGAGCGAAAATCCTTGCGCAGGTCCTTCTTGAGCCCCTTGACCGTCTCGTCCACGTTGACGCGCTCGTACTTTTCCCCGTCAAACTCGTTGGTGATGGTGTCCGTCTTGACGTCCGCCTCGTCCAGCCCGAAGCCCGGATTCGGCAGGTCCGGCCGGCCCTTGACCGGGTTCGGGCTCGTCGCCGTGCGCGACCGCGTCAGGTCCTTCTTCAGCCAGTCGCCAAAGTCGTCGGTGCGGATCGACTCGATCATCTTGGTCGCGCCCTTCATCCGGTCCAGCTTGGCCTTGACCTTCTCGTCCAGGGCCGCGTCGCCGGCGCGCTTCTTGGTAAAGTCCTTGTCAGCGGCCATGTCCTCGACCATCTTGGCGACCATTTCGTGCAGGAGGAAGTAGTAGCTCTTGCCCGTCTTCTTCTTGAGCGACTCGAGGCCGCGGTTGAAGCGCATGCCCTGCACGTCCTTGTTGAAGCCGGCGCCGTCCAGCTCCTTGGCCACGGTCATCATGTCGCGCGAGTCGCTGGGGCCTTCGATGCTGCACACCTTCTTGTCCATGTTCTGGATGAACTCCTGGAAGGTGAACTTGCCGTCCGCCTCGGTGCCGGGGGGGTTGGGCGTCGCGCCGAGCTTCTTGTGCGTCTTGACGTCGGGGAAGAGGTAGGACTGGTCCTTGCCCTTCCACAACCAGGCCAACTCGTACGCCTCCCAGAGATGGGCGCGTTCAAGGCCTCCAGGGACACCGCCCGCGAGAACTTGAACGCAGAGGAGGCAAAGGGCGCCCAGCCAGGTAGCCCAGTTGAATAGCATGTTTGTGGTGCCTCTTTGCGACGAGACGTTGTCGACAAGTAGTAAAAAGAGAGTGATGAAAAAATTGTAGATTCAATCGATGACAGGAAGAGCCTACATAGTCGGGCCAAGCAGGCCGAACAGGTCACAATCCGGGTGTTGCTGGTATTTGGGCCGGCTTGGCTTACACGCCCACGCCCGTCCAGTCAGGATCCATCAGCTTGCCTTCTCTACAACTCTGTTTCTACACTCTGTTTCTCCCTGTCTACTCCATATCCAGGAACGAAACAAGACAATCTTGCATCTAGTTTCTTTCATGCGACTCTAGCGCTCGGTTGTTCCCGAATAGGTAGTGGCCGTAATAAGGCTGTGTTCCTGGTTTAGCTGTATCTGTTCTAGACTTGGATGCACGTAAGACGGCAATTCTCGCAGGACGACCCCTGCGGCCATTGCAGAATTTCTCGGCAGTATTGTTTGCTCCGGCCAATTCCAAAAATCTGCTAGTCCTGGCTAACGGCTTCCATTGTCGGCCGAAAATCATACCCGGACGGCGTCGAGACCAAGGAACAAGCTTGTTATTCGAGCAGGACACGCTAAAGAGTCCAATATGACTTTAAAACCGGTTACAACGATACACTAACTCCTAGTTGAGGTATTGACCGACCTACATGTTCAGAGATGGCAAATGCCGAGGGTAGGTTCGCATATGGACGCATATGGCCCAGGACTTTAATGGAATGACCATGTCCCTTTTCTTTTCGACATTCAAGCATTCCAAGAACAGTTCCGTTCAAAGAACGTGAGACTTGGAGTATTTTTCTTTCATTCTTTGTTCCTCTTTGCTACGCGTTCATGATGCGGCGAGCTACGGGTTCAGCGGCCTTGGCTCTCTCAGCCATCGTCTCGCTGGCCGCAGCCGTGACTGAGAGTTATTCCGGGCAGTATCCTGATCTTTGCCCAAGAGCTTGTGAAGAAGCCGGCCCGGCGCCTGGAAACTGGACAAAGGTTCATCACTTGGATGAGCTGTCTAGCTGCACAAAGGACCTGGTCTTTGACCTCAACGTCCACAACTCCGTCGATGACCCAACCACGATTCTCACTATTCGTGCTTGTACCTCGACTGGCCACGAAACATTCGACACTGAATCTCAGTTCATTTCACAGGATGAGTCGTCGGCAAACTCCACCCAGAATGCCCTTGTCATTTCCAACGACTGCGGTGCCAAGACGACAAAGTCCTACCTGACGCCTCGTGTGGGAGGCCCAATCACTTCGGGTTCCAGCTTCAACACGACAGACATCCCCTCCGCTGTCGGGAAACTCAAGAGCTTCATGGAAAAGGGGGCTCAGTGTGGAAAGTCTATTCTATTTGCCAAGTCGGGCAATGCTGTGGTCGGCCTGTACTCTGGCTCTCAGATTTCCAAGAGCTCTGTGCCCAGTCTGCTTGACGAATTCAGCAAGAAGCTGGAGCATGGCAGCTACTCGATGGAGATTTGCTCCGATAAGCAATCTTCAGACACTTTTGGCGCTGCTGCTGGAGAGTTCAAGAGCCTTGCGACTGTGCAAGCCGCAGTCAAGGGCTGGGTGGACGGCGAGTGTCTCGGTCAAGGCAGCGATGTTGCCCCGATTGAGCTCGAAGTTTTCGTCTCTACTGTAGGCGGAAACTCTACCGGAGCTTCCAACAGCACTATGACTAGTCGAGCCTCTTCCATGCGTCTCCCAAGAGGCGACTGCAAAACGCAGCAGGTCCAGGAGCACGACAGCTGCGCCGCCGTGGCGAGCCGATGCGGCATCTCCGTCAGCGATCTCCAAAAGTACAACGGCGGCGCCTCCGACTTTTGCAACAAGCTGATGCCTAAGCAGCACGTCTGCTGCGGACCGGGGACCCTGCCCGACTTCCGTCCGCAGCCGCAGCCGGACGGCACGTGCCACACGTACAAGATCAACCCGGACGAGACGTGCTACCTCATCGCCGACGCCAACTACCTCAAGGCGGACGACATCGAAGGCTTCAACAAGAACACCTGGGGCTGGTCCGGCTGCGAGCACCTGCAGCCCGACCAGATCATCTGCCTCAGCAAGGGCGACCCGCCGATGCCGGCCCCGATCGCCGACGCCACCTGCGGCCCGCAGGTGCCGGGCACCAAGAAGCCGACCGACGGCACCAAGCTGGCCGACCTCAACCCGTGCCCGCTCAACGCCTGCTGCGACGTCTGGGGCTTCTGCGGCACGACCGACGAGTTCTGCACGGCGACGCCCTCGGACACGGGCGCCCCCGGCACGGCCAAGCCGGGCACCAACGGGTGCATCTCCAACTGCGGCCGGAAGCTCGTCAACAACGACAAAGCCCCGGACGAGTTCCGGAGGGTCGGCTACTACGAGGCGTTTGGCAGGAACCGCGATTGTCTCAACATGGAGGTGACCGCCGTCGACACGGACAAGTACACGCACATCCACTTTGCCTTTGCGACTGTCACGTCCGCTTTTGCGGTGGACATCTCGGACTCCAAGGACCAGTTTGACAAGTTTGTCAAGATGGACAAGATCAAGAAAGTCCTGTCGTTTGGTGGCTGGGATTTCTCGACCAAGCCAGAGACCTTTCAGCGGTTCCGAGACGCCACCAAGCCGGGTAACCGAGACGCGTTTATTGCCAGCTTGGTCGATTTCGTCGGTCATGTAAGTCTAATATGGGCGAAACTGTAGAAAAGGAATGCTAATGGTTGATCTAGAATGCGATTGATGGGCTCGACTTTGACTGGGAGTACCCTGGTGTAAGTGCTACTTCAAGCGTGTAACCAACGAGTACTAATGTGCCACTAGGCACCTGATATCCCCGACATTCCGCCCGGTGATAAGGGCGAGGGAGACAACTACCTAGACTTCCTCAAAGCTCTCAAGGCAAAGATGCCTAGTGGCAAAACCATTTCCATCGCCCTGCCTGCTTCATACTGGTACTTGAAGCAGTACCCGGTCAAGAAGATGGCCGATGTGGTGGACTACTTTATCTACATGACTTATGATTTGCATGGACAATGGGGTAAGTCTCGCAAATGTAAGAACTATTAAAGATCCCTGCTGACAGCGACAGACGTTGGCAACAAGTATGCTACGCTTAACTGCCCCTCGGGCAATTGTCTTCGCTCTCACGTCAATAAGACCGAGACAATGGACTCCCTCATCCTCATCACCAAAGCCGGCGTAGAGTCTCGCAAAATCGTTGTCGGAGTCAGCAGCTACGGAAGAAGTTTCCGAATGCAGGACCCGTCATGCTCCGGGCCCTTGTGCTTCTACACGGGCACGCGAGACCACTCTGAAGCGTACAAGGGCCGCTGCACAGTCACCTCTGGCTATATCTCCAACGCAGAGATGGCAGAAATCGTCGAACTCCAGTCGTACTCGACGGTCAAGCAGTACTACGATAAAGACTCGGACTCTAATGTTCTCGAGTATGGAGACGGCAATGCCATCGACTGGGTGGCGTACATGGACGATGAGACCAAGGCCTCTCGATCAGACTGGGTCAAGGGTCTCAACTTTGCTGGAACCTCGGACTGGGCCGCGGATCTCAACAGCTTTGATGGCGATGACTTTTCAGATGCGGGCATGCCGGATGTTCCAACCACAGACCTTGACAACATTGACTGCGATCCGGATCTGAACCCGGGCAACATGAAGGACCTGAGCGACAAGGCAGACAGCTTGCCGGTGCGCTGCCAATCGCTCTTCGCATTGGACATTCTCATGAACGCGCTCGATGACAGCCTCTCTCTGTTCAACGTCAACTCCAAGGACTACGATGACAAGTTTGGCTACTACGAGCAATGGGTCAAGGACGGCATCGACGACCGCCTTCGCGAGTTCCTCAACTTCCGCAAGGACGTCAAGGACGCGCCCGGCCTCGACTTCTTCGACTGCAAGTACACCTGGGGTAGGAAGACGGACACCACCTCGTGCACGGGGATGCCGCACTTTTGGGACTACAACGACGTGTCGTGGACGGTCGAGTTCATCCTCAAGGACGAGAAGGGCTTCTACGACTCGCTGGTCGAGAACACGGGCGTGGACAAGGACTGGATCAAGTTCGGCACCCGGGACGACGGCTACGACTGCGCGGACCCGGGCATCGACGAGCCGCGGCGGCCCGGCGGCGGCGTCTCGCCGCCCTGCCGGCGCATCAAGCACACGTACCAGAACTTCCCGATGAAGAAGAGCGACTCGGACATCCACGTAGGCAACCCAAAGGCCATCATCGAGGCGTCGATGAGCAACATCACGGCGCTCGGCGACTCGCTGCTCGCCGGGTACGGCTCCGTCGGCTTCGGCGTGTACAGCGAGGGCAACCCGGACGCGTCCGAGATCGACGCCGTCGTCGCCTACGCCATGCCAGTCTTCCAGCTGCAGCAAGCCGTCGAGAGCATGAAGGACATCAAGGACATTGGCGAGAAGGCCAAGGAGGAGAAGCGCAAGCAGCTCATCCTCACCATCCTCACCTTTGTCTTCATGGCCCTGCCGTTCGTCGGCGAGGCGCTCGGCCCCATCGTCGGCAGCGCGGCGGCGCTCGCCCGAATCGCGCTCATCGTCTCCGAGGTCGGCAACGCGGCCGTCACCATCGCGGACATTGTCGGCGACCCGACGTCGGCGCCGTTTGCGATCCTGGGGCTGATCGTGGGCGTCGGAGGAGGCACGGGCAAGGTGACCAAGGCGGAGGGCCTGGGCAAGGCGGCGGCGGCGCGGGCGATCATGAAGGACGGCGACCTGGCCAAGTTTCCGGCGCGCTTCAGGGAGCTGGACAGCCAGGTGCAGAAGATTGTGAGCAAGACAAAGGACAAGGTGTGCCACCTCAAGTTTTGATGGACTGGCTAGTCAGAGGTGGGAGTTGTCGGACTGAATCAACACAACACTCATTAGTTTATCATTACTCATGTGAAGAAAGACGTCAATAGAGCATATGAAAGTGACTATCGTGAGCAAGTTGTTGCTCTGATGGTGAGCATCTTATCAGATGCAAGTGAGAGATGGTGGGATGGCTGGGATGGCTGGGATGGATGGGCGGTTTGGGCAGGGGGAGAGAAAAGGCTTGAAAATGATGCCTGAATGAATGCCTGACCAGTTATTATTAGTGACGCCATCGACTTGGTTGGGGCTTTATTATTAGGGAGCTCCTGTAACCGCTAAAGACGTTAAAAAAGAACGCTAAAAAGAACCGAACAAAGGTCTGTTGGGTGATTGAAGAAGCGCCAAATTGTCGCGCGTTTTAACGGGAAGCCCCCCCTAAATTAGCCCTTACAACTAGCCCCTAAAAAGACCGCTAGAGCTACCTGAGCTCTTCCCGGCCGCCATCCGCCATCCGCCCTCCCCCACCGCTCTTCGCTCTTTGCCAACACTCACCACAGCCTTGTAGATATTCTCTTCTCTCCATCGCCCAGCCCGGCCTACGGCGTCCATTCCTTTTTATTCCCCCGACATATTGTATTTTTATTCTCCTCCTCTCGAATGGGCAGTCGGGCTCTTCAACCTCTTGCCAATCTCAAACCAACCTGGTGGCGCCATCTCCCTCACGCCACCATCACCATCCATACCCCTGCCAGCCGCAAAGGGTTGACGCGCCCACCACCACCTCGCCTCCTCCCGTCCCTCTTCGCCGCACACGGCTCCGACTCCCATCTTAACGGCTCCGACCCTTTTTCTTCTTCCGCAAACACGACTCTTCCACTGAGCCGAACCAAGCGCAATGCAGGCGGCCGCCAAAGGCAAGGCCGACTACCAGGGCCGGAGGACAAAGGTATGTCACTTGCGCCAACAACCCCTATGGCTGTTTTGCTTTTTCTCCGAGCTTCTTCGTCGATGCTGCGTGCGCCTCAAAAAAAAAACTCAATGCTATCCGTTCATGCAATTTGGACTCTGCCATACTGACGACCCGATCTCTTCTCCCATAGCTCGCCAATTCCTACCAGGAGCTGCTCAAGTCAGTACCCGCCATCTCGCGACGCCGCCTCGCCTCGCCTGGCCTTGACCACGGCAGCTAACCAGCCGGCAGTGAATTCTCCAGCAGCGATCTCAAATCGGTCGGAAATTACACACTCGGACGACTAATAGGCAAAGGTTCATTCGGAAAGGTCTACCTAGCTACACACAAGCTCACCAACGGCTCCAAGGTGCGCCGGCTCTCTCCTCCCCTGTGTCGCAGCGTCTCATGTTCCATATAGGTTGTCCTCAAATCGGCAAACAAAAACGATTCGAATCTCGCCCGCGAAATTCACCACCACCGACAATTTGTCCATCCCCACATTGCCCGTCTGTACGAAGTCATCGTAACGGAGAACCTTGTGTGGCTTGTTCTGGAATACTGCTCCGGTAAGCTGTGCCACGCGACAACGGTCCGTCCGGGACATTAACATGCGACAGGCGATGAGCTGTACAACTACCTTCTCGACCACGGCCCGCTACCCGTTGACAAGGTGCAAAAGATCTTTGCACAGCTCGTCGGCGCCGTCAGCTACGTGCACCTGCAATCTTGCGTACACCGCGACCTCAAGCTCGAAAATATACTCTTCGATAGGCACGAGAATGTCAAGCTGGTGGATTTTGGGTTTACGCGCGAATATGAGGGCCGAGTGAACCACTTGCAGACCTTTTGCGGAACGATATGCTACTCGGCACCAGAAATGCTCAAGGGTGAAAAATATGCTGGCGAAAAGGTTGACATCTGGAGCCTAGGTGTTATCCTCTATTCGCTGCTGTGCGGCGAGCTGCCATTCGACGATGATGACGACAACGTCACGCGGTCACGGATTCTGGGCCAGGAGCCCAAGTACCCGGCCCATCTGCCTTCCGAAGCTGTCGCCCTAATCAAATCGCTATTGTCGAAGCGGCCGATCTTGCGACCTAGCCTACCGGACGTTCTAGCCCATCCGTTTCTGGCCGATCATGCCGCAGCTCAACAAGCGATCCTGCAAATCAAGCCTCAACCTCCATTTGCCTCGCCGCTGGAGAAGGACTGTCTCCAGCGCATGAGGAGCGCCGGCGTCGACATCGATGCCGTGATTGAGAGCGTGTTGTCTCAAAGATGCGATGCGCTGACTGGCTGGTGGATATTGTTACTGGAAAAGGAGGAGCGCAAAATCAAGCGGCGCGAGCTAAAACGTCGAGAAAAAGAAGCAGAGCGGAGTCTGCGCCGTCTCTCGGCTGCCTCGAGTCGATTAGAGCGCCTCGCGCCGACATTGCAGGATGTAGATGAGGATGGAGGCCTCACATCCCATTTTATCCGACTCGGGGACCAACATTCCCAGCGGCGCGGACGAAGCGACCGACGAAGCGCGGGCTACTACGACATTACGATAACAGACCTTCCAGAGCTAACTGAAGTGGCCCGGGAGAATGGCTCTGCGAGCGGTGGCGAGCCTGCACGACCAGCCGATACCCAGTCTATCCGGTCTGTCTCAACTTCTTTTAATCATCGACCCATACCGCCGCCCAAGGAAGGTGTGATCCGCAGTGCAAGGTCACGCGGGTCAACATTGCATCTCATCACAACAGCTGACTCGTTCAACAGCAGAGCGCAGCCAAGCCCCGGGGAGACGAGCAACGGCAAGGCCAACGGCATATCCAAGTGGAAGAAGAAGCCCGGACTCATGGCGCATTGGAAACAGTGGACGCATTGGTTCAAGGAGAACGCCAAGGTGCGGCGCAAAGGCCACGAACGTCACGCGAGTAGGAGCACGCCCGATCTTCATAACAAGGAGAGAAAGGGAAGTGCGGAGAAGGAAGCGAGCCCACGTCCGCAGACGAGCAAGTACCCAAACTCGACAAGCGGAGCGGCTGGCACTTCACCTCTGCCCAAGGGTGTGGTGGCTAATGGCCACTACGGCAGGGCCAACTCGCCGGGACGCCGGGTGCTGTCCAAGAGCAGCACGTCGAGTAGTCTGGCAGCGCCGCAGCCGCACCGACCGAGAGTTTCTAGCAACTCACAAGCATACAAGAGACAGTCTCTTTCGCCAGCGCCAATGACGCCTCGATCCACCGTTCGTCGCTCGTCTGCCGGCTTGCGCGGTCGCAAGTCGACCTCGTCGTCTGTCTCCTCTGTTCGATCACTGCACCATCACCACCACACCCATTCCAAGGCGTCTTCGACCAGCTCGACAGGATCCGTGTCCACATCCAAGACGCCACTCGGCCGAACGCACTCGCCACACCACTCGGTCAAGGTCCTACCCGCCACACCGACGTCGCACGCATTCCCGTCCAACATTCGCCTCGTCCGCGGCTCTCCCGGACCGGCGCCGCTGCAGATCTACAACGAGGGCATGCCGAGCGGCGGTAGCCGGCCGCCTGGATCGCCGAACCCGTTTGCGGGCGGCGTGCAGTTTGCCAAGCGCAAAAAGAACCTCTTCAAGGGTCCGAGCCTGAACCTGCCGACCATCTCGTCGTCGCGCACCTCGAGCGCGGGGTCACACTCGCGCAGCGGTAGCGGCTCCAACATGCGGCGCTCGACCGAGGTGGCGATCCCCGGAATCCAGGAAGAGGACGAGGACCACGTGGCCGAGGAAGAGGAGGAGATTGAAGAGGTGGAAATGTTTAATCCTATTGTGCGTGGGCCGGGCGAGATTGTAGAGGAGCATATCATCGAGGATGATGAATTACCATCGGCGCTGGATCTCAATGACATGGGTCGACGTGCGAGTCAAGATAATGGTGCGAGTGTTGGAGTGAAATGATTATACCCTGCCTTGTAGGGGCCTCCTCAACGGTATTGGCATTTCGTATCATTTCGCGTCATTTCTTCTTCATTTTTCTTCTTCTCTTCCCTTTTTTCTTTTTCTTTTTTGTTCTATTTCTGCTGGAACCAACTATACCCACTTGTTTCAAGCTGCGAGAGTTGACAGATGAATTTGCATATATTACTGTTGCCATCCTCGGGTGGAAGACGCTGAAGCATCTGTAACCGCTGAGGCGAAAGATATTGTCAAAAGAATTGTATTATCATGTATAAAATACACGGAAAATGATTATTACGGAGCTGTTTCCATTCTCATGTACTGCTCTTCCCTGCCGTTCTCTTACCGCCTCTTAGGCCACGGTCTCTGCTCATCTACAGCTCATTGTTCGCGCAGCTCGTCACCTCGTACTCGACCGTGTCGTTGCCCGTCTTCCAGATCTTGGGCTTGAAGTCGAGGTAGACGAGCTCGTTCTTCTCGGGCTTCCAGTCGCCGTCGGTGTCGCGGTAGTACACCATCTCGCCCGAGCCGGCGTCGCGCACCTCGATCGTGGTGTGCGACAGCGTGCCGTCGGTCGTCCACGCGAGGTGGTAGCAGCCGTCCTTGGACACGGCGAAGGGCTTGGAGCAGCGGACGTTGCCATCGGCGTCGACGCACTTCTCCACCGCGTAGTCGAGGACCTTGCCCTTGGAGACAGAGTCGCCACCGGCTGCGAGAGGGGAAGGTTAGCGGAGGGAAGGAACTAGCTTGCCCGGGGGGGGGGG